TGGTGCCGGCAGAGGGGCTACACGCCACCTGACCCTGAGCCCCAACGCAAGAATGACGACGAGTCCATCGAGGACATACTCACACAGATAGATAATGAGCCTGGTGAGTTTCTGTGTGTGTTTTTGGTGCATAGCTTCTGAAGGAAAATCATTTAGTTTGGCTTGTTTTTGCGATTTCACCGTCTACTCTTCTTCTGTTTTCAGCAGCTGAAAGTGGATCAATAATTTCCCCTCAGTGTTGCATGTGTGGGTGTAGCGCTTCTGCGGTTACCAGTCCAGAAATGTGTTTGCAGTCCAGTTGTGTGTGTGAGGGCAGGCTCAGTGTTTTTGTTCAGCCATGTTGTTTTTACACAGAGTTCTCATTAAGTCTGTCTTTTGTCTCTAAAGGGTGAGAGACAAGGTTGCTTAGCTCAGTGAGTCACACTCTCACCTGAGCCAGACAATATGATAATCTATGTTTGTGTTCTCCTTGCAGAAATTTCATGATTTTTAATATTCAGATTGTTGAACTGGTAAAATGAGGCAATATTTTACAGAAGCAGACATTTTTCAGCTTAGTTATAAACACTCACAAACATCAAGAATCTGCAATCTGAGTGAAATACTAAAGCTGTTGATGCTTCTGCTTCCCTGCCGACGCTGCTGCTTGTGAAATGGTGTGTTAAATGTACTTGTGTATGTGTCCGCAGAGTGCCCGTCAACCCTGAGTAGCTGCGACGAGCTGGTGTTGCGGCTGGAGCAGATGCAAGCTCTGCTGAAGACTGAACCAGAGGAGGCAGATGACGAAATAGTCGACATTGTCACGGTGACTCCACCCTGCCAGAAACTAAAGGTCAAAGAGGAGGAACAAGAAACTGATACAGAGCCTAAGTTCTTCCTGGGCCCCTGCATGTCCGCCCAGTTTGTCAGTGAAACAGCTCAGCAGGTCAGGAACTTCTCTGGTGTCTTCAGAAGCGTAAAATACATGTTGCCTGAATTTTAACTACAAAGAAGCGGCACCACTTTGTCCATTTTTATGTGCTGACTCCTGTGTGTCTCTCAGATCGGGGTAACTTTCCAGCCAGTCGAGGTGGAGAAGAATGTGTTCGCTCCAGTAGTCGAAGCCATGATTCTGAAGGTCGGTCACTTTACAGTCCAGAACAGGAAAAAAAACTTGGCCATTTACAGTAGCTCATCATTACCTTGACACACCCTTGACTGAAATGATGAATATAGAGTATGTATAAGATGCACAACCACACAGTATTGCGTGTTTCACCTTGTACCGTATGAGAGAGTGGGTTTCTTTGTGACTAATGATGAGTGTGTGTGTGTGTGTGTGTATCTACATTGCAGGCTACAGAACAGTTTGCCAGTGACATCCTGAGAGAAGCTCTAGCTGGGGCCTACGCCAAATCCCCTCAGAACAGGTCAGCCTCTGTTTTTTCTCTCTCTCTAACATGCAACCTGCTTAGTGCTCCATTTTTCACTTCATGCATTATACTGTATCCAGGGCTTATCCAATCTACCAGTTTGCTACTCAAATTATTCTTAACAACAATTTTAAAAAAAGCAATAAATTGTATGCAATGAATAGATATTCTATAATAACTGTTTCAGAACATTATTGAACTACAGGAGTACTGTTTCACTCTTTTGCATTTGGTAAAACAGTGTAGATTGTCCATGTCAGCCTTATGTTTAACATTTTAGCAACAAATACCATGAAAACACCAAAAACAACTGAGTTGATCCTGTTGACACATATTGTCAGTGTATCTAACGTCTGATACTGCTTAGTCATCTGTGCCATAAATCTCCATTATTGTCCACCAACTATTAACAACACACTGGGTGATCTTATTATGGTGAACATGGGCACTGATGTTTATTTTGAATTGACCCCACATACACTGTTGTGCTGGTCTAAATATATGAGCGCCAAATGATTATTAATCTGTAGCTGAAAATAGTCCCAAACAAATGCACTGCTGTTTTTTTGTGATTTTTTTTTTCTCACCTTATTTTAAAAATGAAACTATGGGACTGAGGTAGGACATGGTGGGGAAGTAAGAAGTATAGAGAGATAAACAAATGCATTGTTGGTTTTAATTTTTTCCATGGGATTTGTTGACAGTAATAGAAATATAGAGTAATGCAAGCCTTATCCTATAAATATTTTTTTGAAGAATAACAAAAAGTGATCCAGTGGCTGCATATGCCCCAACAAGATCACTTACCAAAGACATAAAAATAATTATGATTTCTGTGATTATTGACTCAATTATGTTTACTGTTATTATCAGCAGTAAATAAGGCCTATTCAAAGTTACATTCATTGACAAACACAGCAGTGTGTGTTCTGTGCTCTGTAATAACTGCAAGTACTGGTAATATCTGCCACCTTTATGACCAGCTTAACTAAACATTTGAATGCAGAAACCATGGAGTTGCATCTATTTATTTATTTATTTTTGGAACTTGTCATTTTAATTTGCAGAGACATCGGTAATTCTATTGTCCTTGCCTGCAGAGTATGTTGTCTCTTTTGTGCTATTTACATTATGTAAGACAGCAGGGAGCTGAACTGAAATAACAGACCTCTGAGTGAATTGATTCAGAGCTGAAGCATTTAATGACAGACAGTCATAAATATTCAGAAGACAACCACTGACATAACAGGCAGTCTGAAACATATTTCCTGTGTGTTGAGCCATGCTCAAAATCCTAATTTGGGTACATCGGGGTTTGCAGGGCTCCCAGAGAGATCACAGCCATGAACATCCACCAGGCGGTCAGTAGCGTCCCCACCTGTGACTTCCTCACCAACACACACATGGGTTACTTGGCTAAGGACAACTGAGGACAACAAGACTGACATTGGCTGGTAACTGACACCAACACAGATGTGAGGACTGTCTGAACTGCTGGTTATGACAGAGAGACTCCACTCTGACAGCTCCACTGTGTGAATATTCACACCTGGATGTGGTCCTGTTGCCTCAGGTTGTGCAGTAATAATTAATGTACTGTATTCATTAACGATCATAGAAGGGCTCCACGTGCTTCTCACAGCAGCTGCACAGCAGCAGAATAACAAATGTTTCTAATACTGCAGGTATATTGTAACATTTAATCCTAATGTATCAAGAGAAACAGCATTGTGGGAATCATGTTATTTGATTTTGAGGCTGTTGTGCTCTCGCTTACCTCATAACATGATTATTCTAATGATTAAGTGTTTCCTGCCAGACAGCCAGCTAGTCATTGGGGAAATGAAGCTTGAGTGACTTATAGGGCTAAATAACAACATCAGACAGCTGTCCCCTCTGTCATTCATCATCCTGCTGTCATGTCTCCTGAACTGTAAACAAGGTTCAGTTAACCAGCAGACATGAACCTCAGATTTACAGCAAGTTGGAAACACTAATGGACATATAAGTGTCAGCATTCTCTATCAGTCACATTGGTCATAATGTCTTGTGGGTACTGTGGGCAAAGCAAACAGAGAGATTCTTTCAAAAGTGCCATTGCCATGGCAACCGATGATCCGTCATTACGAACATCCTTTGATATATGTCAGTGTTACCTGGCAGAGGTTCATACAAATACAGTAATAATCCAAACATGCAGGAAGTGCTTTCTAAGGCTCTTCAGAAGAAATTCATGTTGTCATATTTTTAAGACGCAGACAGATTTTATCACAAATCTCATGTCAAGATACAGGTGATACTCTAATGAACAAATCATTCTCTTATTATGAATTCAAGACGGCAGTCTCAATATTTATCTTCTCTCCTTCATCAACCAGCTTTAATAGCCCGTTGAATTTCTTTTAAGTGTTCAGTTTAACAACCATAATGTATCTATCATGTAAAGTATACAGTGTATATGACCAATATGAAATAGAGGGTGTTTTCAAATCCTGTTTTATTTTTGTATCTAATATCAACACCTGCGAACAGCAATGCCCTAACAGTTGTGTGTGTGTGAGTGAGAATAAGTGAGTTAATGACTTTGACAGTGAGTGTTCGTGTGTGTTTCGTTGGCTGATGTTCTGCTAGTAATTCTGTTTAATGTGGAGCTCTGCATTTTGTTAATGTGTGGATGACTGGATGAGTGTAAGTGTTTGGGCTGAGTGGTTGTGATGCCTGTTAAACCAAATTAGTGTAGAAGATACCCAAACATTGTATTTTCACGTTTCAGTGCAAACCAAAAATATAATCAATATTCTTGTAATAAACAAAGAAAAACTATGGTTGAATTATTTCTTGCAAACCTGTGTAGAAAAATCTTTTTTGTTTGTTTAGTTTTTTGATAAACACAGGGTAAATTGTGGATAATGAATTTAAGAATCTCTTAACTAATCAGGGATAGAGATGTAGACACCTCTTAAACTCAAAGGTTAAAGGGCCAGTTCACCCAAATTATATAAAAAACATTTTATCACTTTATTTTTAGTGGTATGTGGCCATGCAGACAGTTTTGATTTGAAAACATCTGTCTCTGAGATTTCTACTACCAACCCACAATACAGTTGAGATGGAGACTCATACTTCTGTCTTTCCAGAAACGGCATCAGTGCTAGTTTGGATAATCCTCAGGCCTCACTGTGAACAGTTTCCACTGGAACTACTGAGTACAAAAGAAATAGTCCCAATGAAAACTGTCGACAGGTAGGTTTGTGGGATTATCCAGAGTACAGCACCATTATTTCTTGAAAGAGATGATGCTGGTGAGTTCTACTTTTCAAAGGTAATAGTTCAGTATTTTGGGAAATATACATATTCACTTTCTTGCAGAGAGTTGTATGAAAAGCGATACCGCTCTACATAGTAGTAATTCTTTGCAGACAACAACCAGGTGCAGTAGTTTCCCAAGTCTAACTGGCAGAGACAAAATGCAACATTTTAATTAGTCAGGTGCCAGAAGGTTGATTTTTGAAATTTAGACAGAGCCAGGCTAGTTGTTTCTCTCTGCTTTCAGTCTTTATGCTAAGCTAAGCTAACCACTTTCTGGTTTACTTAAGGCACAGACATGAGAGTGGTACTAATCTTCTCATCTAACTCTTGCAAAGAAAGCAAATAAGCATATTGACCAAAATGACACCCATAAACTACTCCTTACAATTAAATTTACATCGACTACATTACATTTCCTGACCTTTGGAATAATAGCAGGTAACTGTAATCACTGCTCTTTTCATTCAATACTAATACTACCACCCAGATCAGTGTGATGCCATAAAAAAATCCAGTGCAGATAAAGAGCCAAGTGACATCAGATAGAAAGTGCTAAGGACCTAATATTCTTTTATTGTCATTTCACTTACATTATATATTTGTTCTTTTTCTTAAACAATAGATTAACAAAATAAGAGACCGAACAAGACTTTCCCAAAATAGTAAACTAATCGAATACTGAGGAAATAACTTATTTTCGAGCAGATTTCTAGCAACACCAAAGGGTAACAGAGTAGTCTAAGCAAACACCTTGTCATTCATTATTGGAGCAGACTCAACATTATATACAATAAAAGGACAAGTCAGCAGGTGCACACACACAAACTCACACATACAAACAAACACACAGCAGCCAGTTTCTTGTGCGTCTATAACCACAAAAACAGAAAAAAAAAGCTTGTTTCAAAATTATTTTGTTTCATGCATATGCATTTCCATAGCAACTGGGGGCAAGGAGGAGTGTAAAAGGGGGGCATCTATCTATCTATCTATCTATCTATCTCCACTTGGGAGACTGACTCTGCAGCTCCACAGCCTTCACAACAATACATTCCCTTGCATAGATTCTTGTGTTGTGGAATGGACTGAAAACGCTCCCCTGTTGATTGCCGTAAAACTTAAACCGATCAAAGTGGAATGGTTGGAAATGGGAGCAGCCCTCAGATGTTGAAGACCCTCGATCCACTTTGAAAGACAGCAGACGGGTTCGGAGGGAGCTTGGTCCTCACCAGATGTTCCTGAGACGAGGGAGAGAGAGAGTGAGAGAGAGAGAGAAGGGAGACAGGTATAACAGCAGCTTTTAAGGTGATCAGAGAGGGCAGCAGCTGTGGGGCTCATACTGGACCCATGAAATGAGAGGAGACTGGTTGGGCTGTGCCGTCAGAAAGCATCAGGTCTGCTGTCAGAGAGCAAGCAGCCTGGACAGTATTGCTACTTCCTGCTTAGAGCTGCTCTGTTCTGATGATGACAGCTATTCCCAGAGCCTGACCAGAATCTATCCAGGCTGTGGTTAATAAATAAATGTCACCGAAAGTTGCTCGTATTATATTCTTTCTAGCAATTATTGGATCTGTCAATGAAAATGGGCCAAGCTACAGTATTCCAGTTTACTTGCGCTGCTGTGGAGCGTGGCAGCTTTTATCAGACAGTCTTTGGAGAGATTGTCGGCTTGCTGTCCCAGCAGCACTTTGAATGTGACTATACAGCGCTGTGGGTGGCAGGGAAGGCAGTACATGTTGTTCAGCAAGTCAGATTGGTGTGCCAGTGTGTTCACCCCCCCCCCCCCCCCCCCCCCCCCCCCTTCACACACACACACACACACACACACACACACACACACACACACACACACACACACACACACACTGTCTTTTCTGCTCTGTGTAGCAGCCAGGTCTGCCTCTCTCCTAAATTAGATTGGTGCCAAAGAAGACTGCAACCCGGTGCAACATTGCACTTTAACAGATAATCCATCAAATGGTGTACTCTAGCCCCCTCCCCCTCTTCTCGTTCTCATTCTCTATCACCTATCTATCACATGCTGCATCTCATTCCTCTCTCCTTGTCTCTTTCACTATCCTCGTCTCTTTCCCCTCAGCCGTCTTTTGTCTTTCTTTCAGTGCAATCCCCTCCTCTCCTGCCTGCCAGAGTCCTGCCAATTTGGCACAGGACACGTTTCTGTAGTCCTGGGCAGCGTGGGAAAAGGGAAGAGGTCCAAGTGATAGAAAAGGGGAGAGAAAAACAAGAGAAAGTCTGGCTTTGGGGATATAGACGTAAGGGTGAGGAAAGCGAGAGACGGGGAGAGAGAGAGAGCAAAACAATGGATGGTAACTGCAGGGGTGGGTTTGGAAACATTTGAATGCGGCACAGTTTTAGAGAAGGACGGCACATTTGTAAATTCAGTTAAAAAATGTTCATTATTAAGACATTATTAATACTTCCATGATTTCTTCACTGTAATGAATGCCAAATAAACAGCTTTAAATATTCTAATGTGAAATAATTTCAACAAATAGCTGCTATTTGTAACTCCACATTGCCTACAGGGCAGCTTATGAGACAATGCCCCCCAACCCTCCCCTCATATATTTAGAAGCAAGACTCCCAAACTGAAAGAAACACAGAGTATAGCTTACATTTCTTGTAGTCATTTGGTGTCTGCAGTTGTTTTGTATCTTGTTGAAATCATTTTGCATGTCTTTCTAGTCATGTTGCGTCTCTCTTCAGTCGTTTCGTGTCTCTGTGTAGCAGCTCTGTGTCTCTTTTTAGGTGTTTTTTTTTCTGTCTCTTTGTAGTGGTTTTGTGTTTCTGTAGTGGTTTGATTGGCTGTCCTACAAGAAATGTTAACAGTTACTTAATAGAGCGGTTGATCCGGGGGCCCTGAGGCTGCGCACAGTTGGCCTTTTCAGTATCCAGCCATGAGTCTAACAAGCCAACCACCTATCACCGTCTGACTCTGGCCCGTGCCACCCCTGTCGCCGCGTCCCTGGGTAGCTGAAGAGAAAGAAGTTGTGAAAAAGGGGGGGGTGACAGTAAAGTGCATCTAAGGCTGCAATGCCCCTACAGGCTTCCTAAAATCTGTTTTTGCAGTTTAAAGCCATATCCATCCCTCCACCGTGCCGTGTGTGTCCCTGCCATGTGAAAACACAGCACACTGTATGCAGAAGTTAAGCGGGGTTGTCTGTGAGCTGTGGGAGCACAATCCCAAATCTCAGGGGAAACGCTGCCTATAAGCTGACTGTAAAACAACCAAGAATTTGTCGTGAGAAGACTTTCCTGCTGAGGTTTCCACTCTGCATGCTAAACCTGTTCCCCATTCAACGGTTTTGTCTCGCTCATCCCTGACACACACTGCGGATTAAACAGCCCATCCTCTCAAATCTGTTTGCCTTGTGTTGCGCTTGCCGGCCCCATGATTTCTAACACGCGCACACACACACACACACACACACACACACAAACACAGACGCACACAGACACACACACTGTGCTGAGAGTTCAGAACTGCACCCATTTAAGCCAGACAAGCCGGACAAGCTGGGTTTCAGGTTTAACAGAGGTTCGCTCTCTCCTCTTGACAGCTCGCAACATCCTCTCACTGGGATGTTTTAAATTAGGTTTTTGAGTTCAGCAAGTTCAGGAAAACACAGCTCTCTCATCATGCAAAGCTCAGTGCGCTCTAATCACTCAATTGTCATCTGCATGTCATAAAATTAGACACGGCTTTTATCTGTTGAGATGGATTTTTATCTGTTAAAGGTGGGGGAGCACGCAATTTGATAGATTGATTTGAGCAATTATGAGAATTTCATGGCTGCCCAACTCCTTTATCACCAAGAGCAGATTGATTTTGATTTCAGCAGCTTATTTGGGACTTAACCATTAAATCTTTTAATGAATAGACACAGCCAGTCTCTTTGAATCAGCTGCTCTGCTCCACACTGAATCAAGAAGCTTTGTCGGCTGGTGATAACACAGTTTGGTATAGTCCTGTATTTTTACAGAATGGCATCAAAATGCCCTCACAAATACCAGCTGAGCACCATGACCCAGTGTAATGCATGCTGGAGTGGGATGTGTAATGCTTGGTCAGACACCTCTGCAGGGGGCTGGTGAGTCAATAATGAGTTGGCAGTGAGTGGGCCGGTGGTGACAGGGGTGGATTATCTAAGATCAACTTGATTTGCTGCCAGGCCGGTTTGTGTCGCCCTGGCATATTGTGGTATGACTGATGAAATGCCTGAACATTGAAAAACAGCACAATGTACATGTACATATACGCGCGTAATATTGACTGCAGTGTGCAGTCTCACAGCCGAACACACTTAATGTGCCGTGAACTCTCACTCCAACTGGGCCAGCATTATTAATAGAGTCTGTGTCCTGCCGTTGACATCTCTCACTTCGACCTCCATCACTGAGGGACATAACAGCTTAATGGAGCAGTCATTATTCAGAAAATTATGCAAATAACCAGAGGGGCATCTTGCTTTTTCCCCGAAACTCTCTCGCAAAGGGACTAAAGTTTCAGAAGAGAGGGAAAAACACAGCTATTTACCACAAACTCACATTTGCTAACCCTTCCCCGATACCTTTCCGTACAAGATTTTATTTGGGCATCTGTTGCTACACAGTGTGCAAAGAGACAAACCAGCCTGACCTGGTCCGGCTCGCCTCTGGCAGATGGCACAGAAGTGGTGTGGGCGGGGAAGAGGGATGGCACTAAACCTCTGGAGATTCCCAAAAACTGTCTCACTTACTGTCCTGCAACAGCTGACGTTCGCGGACAGAGGAGGGGGGTGGTGGTGGTGGTGGTATTGGGGGGGGGGTTAGGATATATGTCCCCTCACCCAGTTTAAATCCTGCACTAATCTGGAACAACCTGACTGAAATGACTGGGCAAATCCTCTCGCTGTGTTGCAGTTAGTTTTGCTTTAAATTTCAGCCTCGCTCTACATCTGTCTCTATGTGCCTGTCTTTGTCTAAGAGCACAAACCTGGAGCCACAATTGTGTGAATATTTGGGATGATTCTATCGCTTTGTCACTGGGCCACACTGAAAAATTAAAAACATTTTAAAACATTTTTTAAAACATTTATTCATTCATTTTGGCCACACTTACTTGACATTAGAATTGGTATGCATTTAAACGTTTGTGTGCTTTTTTCCTGCTGAAATGGTTGCGTGACAGTGGAGCACATGAAAAAGACAAAACGAAAAATATCAAGGTAAAGAAGTGCCCAGTTATTGTATTTTTATTAGCTGTCATTTCCAAACACTTGGCCAGATATCCTTTCATGTTCATGTGCATTTAATGATAATCCCAGAACTGATGTAGCCTAATCAATTCCTTTAAATAAATGAAATAGAAAATGTGGAGAAATCAGTTTATACGATTTTATTATTGGAATGGAAGGAGTGTCTAAAGATAGATTTGTGGTTTGACAGATCATTTCTAAGTGTTGGAATAAAACGACAAGGATCATTTAAGCACTCATGTGTTTCAGTGCAGCCATGATCAGAAATAATGTTTTCAGACAGACATCAGTATATTTATCTGCAGATTTGTTTAATTTTCTGACCAAAATGGAGCACAGCTGGAAGAGTTACCCGTTTTCGTCTTTGTTCTCATCAAGCTCGTTCTATTCAGGTCAAAGTAATGAGTGTAGCACCAGCAGAGTGTTACCTAACACAGTACATGGCCTGTTTTAAACAGCTGGGTCACTTTGAGCTGCTTAGGGACAGAATGCTGTATCACTTTTCTGAGACTCTCCAACAGCAACAGGCCACCAGGGAGACGGGTGAAGATGACTTTCAGGGGGAACATGCTGTAGCGTTTTCTAATGAGCACTTTGAACCCGCAGCTTCTTTTAGTAAAATGCACAACATCACTCCTCTAGCTGAATGATTGACACTGGATTTTTGCTTTAGTATAACGGGATGGTATACATTTTGAACAACATCGCCGTCTTTGCCTACCTCTCCCTTGGTCATTCCACTGAACTCGGTCCTCTCAGGTGGGACGCTCTGCTGGAGGCTGGAGGGGCTGGGTGCTCCGCCAACCCGCACGGCAGTGGAGATAGGCTGGGGGACAGCAACAGGTTGTATGTTGGAGACAGCAGATCGGATGATTTGCTCCCCCTGATGCAGCCCTATGGACCTGTGGCCATCCCCGCTGTAGGCAGCCTGGTAGCTGGTCTCTCGTGGGACATGGGTGGCCTCTGTCCCAGGGCTGGAGTATTGAGCTGGAGGATTTTTCCTCGCACTTTTGGCTGGTTTCACCCCCGTCCAAGGCCTGTACTCTTGCCTGGAGGAAGAGGGAAACATCAGAGGCTGATGGAGGCTCAGTACAGCCAGAAGTCTGGCTTGTTTTTGAAATGACACCCTTGGGCAAGTGTGACTGAACGGGGCACTCTATCGATTTTACACATGAAGATCACTTTATTTGTCATGGCGAGTGCTTCGCATGTGTTTTATAATGAGCTTCTTAAAGTCTAGGAAAATAACCATGATTATGTCATCAGGGTTATCTTGGATTGTACTTGAGAGATTTAAAGGGTGTAATGAAAGATGCTTTCAAGCTGCATTATTTGCAGTGTTGGATCCAGTGTTTTTGGAGCTTGACCCATGATTAAAATCTCATAAATCTCAGCCTCGCTTTTTTAGAGTAGTGTCTCAACAACTTTGTTGTGACACTAAATCACCAGAGTGCCCCCTTTAATCTCCAGAGGTTATTATAATAACTCTAGGTAAATCAGTCAGTTCCCAATGTGGGAGGTTGGACCACTGCACTCAAAGGGTCATAAGATAGATCTGAGGGTTCACAAGGTGACAAAAACTCATTCCTGATGCACATATTATTATTATTTTTTCTCTAATTCTTGCTGTTTATTGTGAAACAATTTTTATTTCTTCAAACCTCTAAAATATTAAAATGAATCAGTCTGGGAAAGAAAATCATCCTTTGGTTGCACTGCTGGTAATTCATAGGAACCTATAATAGGAAAGGAAGTCAACATTTTTTCTCTTGTCACAAGCCAAAAAGGTTCCTTCCTGACCACATACCTGAAATAAAACGCATCAAATCAAATTCATACTTGAACTCTCCCATAAATGGATATGCAGGCTTGCTGAGTCAATGAACTACCAATAAAACGCATCTAACGAAGCATCAAAGCAAGCATCAGCACACACACCCCACCCCCTCCTCCACCCCTCCAAGTCCTCCAGTAGTCTGATGGAAGGGGACAGCGACAGGTGCTGAAACAAGTAGTAAAAGAGGGTTGACATGACCTACCTGTAGGAGCTGGTTTTGCTCTCCTCCGTCACCTGCTGCTCCCCCCACCTCTGCCCCCTGCCCCGCTCTTCTCTCTCCCCCGGTTGTGCTTGGCTGTGGCAACTGTTCACCGGGCTGTCCGAAACACTGTCCGCCCTGCTCCCCCCGTTACTAATCCAAGGGAAATTCTCCTTCCTGGGAATGGGCCAGGGTTTGAAATCCTGCTTGTATTGGGTAACGCTGGGGAAAGGCACTCCGGGCGGGTGGTAGTCCTCCCGGGGCTTGTAGCTGGGCTCCTTCCTTGCCCTAAATGATCCGCGGGTCCCCGGGCCATCTGCGGGCGCCTGAGGGGAACCGGCGCCGCGCGGGTCCGGGGTTGAGTAGTTATTCCCGGGTGCGCGCTCCGAGGCGGAGACCTGTTTGGTGACGGACCGCACCTCCTGCTCGGCGATGTCCGAGTAGTTCTGGATGGTGAGCGGGACGGAGAGGTCCGATTTGTCGAACTGGTTCCAGAAGCGAGCCAGGCAGCACACTCTGCTGATGCACGGCCAAGCCATACCCCCCACCCTCTAAACTGTTCGGCTTGTGGAGGAGAGAAGCAAGAGGAGGAAGAAAAAAAATCAAACAAAAAAAGAACAGAAAAAAAGAACAGAAAACGGCAAAAGATCAAAGGTTACATTCAGACAGAGTGCCGCCCTCCCTCCACGTCCGTTTCTGAGAAGCTGAGACTATAGACTGTCCAAGAGTCCATGTCAGCAGCAGAGATGAACCGGACTGTCGGGGACCGTCACTGAATATTCCTCTCACGTGGTCTGTGATAGTGCCTCCACTATGCAGAGGAATCTGTGGCAAATTATTCTCCGCATCTCTAACCGGATCCCGAGTGTCCGCATCGGTCTCAGCGGATTCAACATCAAAGAAACGCCGTTATTTTTTTTCTCCACCACATTCATCTGCTCGCGCAATGCAAAGCTGGAGCTGTTTTGATTTGTTTTTATGGCTTCTCCACTTACAACCACTGAAATTATTGCACCTAAACTGTTGCCAGTATGCTGAGGGTTACATAATTATGATGCAGCGTCAAACATACATTATACAGTATATGCTGGGAGACTGGGTTAGTCTCCACTTAGAAACACTCACCATGAGCAGCTGAATGTGTGGAGATAATATATTTCTAAATCTCTCACAGTTACTCTTTGCCATGTGTTGCATCAACCTGCTTCTTTTCCATTGAGGTCATGAGGTTCAGAGAAAACAAACAGTATTTACAGTGAATTTCTCTCATCATGATCGAAAACAACAGAAGACATTTTTGTCACAACAGGAAAAACTTGTCAATAATAAAAATGAGTGATGGCTGTATTCCATTTAGCTGCTTCAGTTTCAGGGCTCTGGTATTGAGCATGCTGGCTCACACTGTCCTGGCTTAAATGGGACACTTCAATAAAACAGAAACTTTTTTAATGTTATTGGTAACAACTGCTCTTCTTACTATGACAAGTTAAAATGTGGGACCTGTGTGGGATTGTTCATGCGGGGCCCATCATGACGTTACACCATCAGGCCCCAGAAATATTTTCTGTGGGCAGCATACAGTTAAGCTTCCCCACAGAAAGCTTACATGGCCCCATTGTATCAGAGCATTATTACCATTGGTCATATACTGTAGGTTGCTGCTCAGTCCGTCTTTTGAAAAAAAAGCTCAGATTGAAACAATGTTTACTTTTAGTTTTGGCTTTGACACCAGAGTTGCCCGTAAATAACATATGGATGGTACTTTAAAAACTAAAAAAAAAAACAGAAAAAAGATAAGTGGACTTCACAGTTTAATACTATGAACACAGTGCATCTCATCTTAGCGCACTGACCCACCAAATCAAGCTCGACATTATGCCTATCTTTTCGAAACCAGCGTAGTCTACCTTTCAAGTGGTATTAGAAATAGTGAAGAGAATTTGAAGTGGTCTGGTTCTTCTGAGATAACTGATTTTTTTTTTTTTACCAAAATGGTGGCTGAGCTATAAAAGAGAGGAGCTATGACTGCAGTCAGGAAAGCTTTAGTGCCCAACTGCATGTAGAGAATTACAGTTGATTATGGTTCAATGGGTGTGAAATGGAGGGATAAACATTAGGGTGACAGTATGGCACTGAAGGCATAAGAACTTCCCTCTGTGAGCTGCTCTCAGAGAGGGAGGTGAGCTCAGCCTCTCAGAGGGAGGCAGCACAACAGTTTTAAGAAGCACTTTTGGTGGGTTTTGACACAGAAAAAAGCGACTCTGGTTGATGAAGATGAACGGGCCTCTTGCAGCCCATAAATCATCTTAACCACAGGTTCAACTTTAAGTTCAGGTTCTCTGCTCTTGATCACACTAATGTACTCTCAGTGATAAATGGCAGCGGCTCTGTAGTGTGTTTGTCAGTGTGAGCCAAGCAGCAAGCTGCAGATGACCCTTCAACAACACATAATGAAATGGGATGACCGTGGTTAGGTTGTTAGTGAATTGCTAGAGGCAGACACTGGAAGGATGTAAAAACCTTTGAAATACCAGTGTGACACTACCACCTGCAGGAGACAAGATGACATTACTCTCCCACAGTGAACTGTATATTTTTCATGCTAATGAAGTGTGGTTGTATATATTTTTAGCATTATTTCCAAAAAGACAGAAATGTTGCACACTGTGATTTAGTTTGTGCAGTGGTGGAAGAACTATTCAGATATTTGACTTAAGTAAAAGTACCAGTGCAGCACTGAATTCAAAACACAGCTTCAGTTAAAGTACAGAGGCATTTACAACAAAATGAACTTACAGGTGTGCAGTAAGTATAAAAAGTAAAAGTACTCAATATGCTGAAAAATGGACCCCTGACCACATAGTTTTATTAAATTAACTGGTTGTTTATACCGAATCATCAATGTGCAACATTTTACTTACTTTTGCAGCTGGTTGAGGTGAGATGATTAATGGGATAGTAAAGAGGAAAAACACAAAGTTCTGCTACAGAAATTTAGTTCATTTCTCAGATTTTTTAATAATTGGATGTTATGTTTTGTTTTTTTGTGAAATATTGTGTAATTTCACCTCTATGAGCCTCAAGCAGTTATTTAAATGAAACCATCTGAGATGTTTTGTTGGGACTGTTAACAACTCATAGACACACAATAATGGGCCTGTTTCAGGACTGGGTGGGTCCTCCCTTTGCGCTCAGAACAGCCTCAGTTCATTGTGACATGGATTACACAAGATGTTAGAAACTTTCCATTGAGACTATGCTCCATGTTGACATGATTGCTACATGCAGATTTATCAGCCACACATTCATGCTGCCAATCTCCTGTTCTACTACAACCCAAAGGTGTTCTATTGGATTCAGATCTGGTGTCTGGGGAGGCCACTGGAGTTCACTGAACTCATTGTCATGTTCATGAAACCAGTTTGAGACGACTTTTACTTTGTGACATGGTGCATTATCATGCTGGAAGTAGCCATTAGAAGATGGTAAATTGTGGCCACAAAAGGGAAGCACATGGTCAGCAACAATACTCAGCCACAACGTGGCATTCAAACCATGACTGATTGGTATTACATGGCTCAAAGTCAAGCCAAGAAAATATTCCCAACACCATTACATCACCACCACCTGCTTGGACTGTCATATAAAGTTGTCCTGTAATCTAAGTTCAGCCCTGTTAAAAATTGAAATTTCACTTCAAGCAACAGAGACATTTTTGCTACTGTTTGTCTCAGTTTTATAGCTTACAGTTGACTCTCTTAAAAAATGGTGTTAATAATGTGCCAAATTAAAACAAACTGATATATGTGTGCGTGTGTGCATGTGTGTTTGTGTGTGAGAAAGAGAGAGATAACACAGCTTTCATCATCTTTACTATTTCATATCATTTTTAATGCTTGAGTCAAAAAATAAAATAAACAGAAGGCAAAACATTTGCAAGGAGGATTTATTGTGCACCAACACAGATTTCAAGTTTTTTAAATTAAAAAAAGGTAAATAGAATCAAGCAAATATTTCTGAATTAGACTCCTAGGAAAAATAATAATAATGTACATATATTATAAGTTGTTTTGTTTCCCACAGCTGTTTCTGGTTTGTTGTTTTCCTTGTAGTTTTAAAGTTTTGTGGTTTTGAAGGTGCTGCTGAACACATTATGTCATAGTATTAGAGAGAGAAGAAAAGATCCAAAACATCTGTCTGCAGCTGTGGAATGCTGCACTGCACTGCCCCCTGCAGTCCCCTCAAAAAGGATCACTGGATATGTGGGCATGAAGTAGTTGTATTTAAGAGAAAAACATTAGATTGGATGGACCTGATGATTGCAGCTGCAGGGGAAAAGTCCTAGTATCGCATAGTACAAAGGACAGTGCAGCTCTGACTTGAGGCTTTTTAAGAGTCAGCTAAACTTGATCTGCTTTTACTTCTACCACAGACAGAGAAACATGGGTTGAGAGACAGAAACAGTCATACATTAGAGTCTTGTCTGTTTGTTAGATTCATTATTAAATCAGTGGGTGCCTAGGAAGCAATCAAAGGATTTACTATAATTGTGTAAAAGGTTACATCACTATTTTGAAGTAATATTTTATTTTGTGTGGTATTTCTAAATTGAAGCATTCCCTAGCAGTTGAGAAACAAAATCTGGAGCAGAAATCATTGTTTTTCACGACTGGTTCCAGTTGTACCTGCAAGAAAAAAGACCCCTGGACTACAAAAGATACAAAACCAGGGAGCATGACTTAGTAAGTGTAACAGTTCATCAGACAGGAAATGGTGTAATAATATAATCTGTTGTTTTTAAAATCCATGTGTTTGTTACTGTTTTCACAGCCTGATAAGGACGATGATGCTCTAAACCTCCAGTTCAGCTGGTATGGTGTGGTGAAGCACATTGAGTTTGAGGTGACTCTTCACCATCATCTTCCTCATGAACACAGAGAGGAGCGCAATGGTGTTCGTCAGTTGGATCTGGTGTTCGTCAGACATGGACGCTCCCTCGGAACAGCATATCCTAAACCACTCAGCAGCTGCAGCAACAGATGTTAGGCAGCGCTTACACTGAATTCCCATGTGATACTCACATCTTTGTTTGAGAAAATGGAGCACCTAGCACCATTGTACTGTGGTTTAGTTAATATGGCACTATAGACCTGCTTAGTAGTGCAGGACACAGATATGTTCAAGTTTCTGTTTTTATCTCACTTATTGACTCAATTATTTTCATAAATAACAATTTTATTGAGAAGTTTTTTATACAGTGTCTTCAGAAAATAAATCTGGCATTTGCCAAAACATGGGAGCAGAGAAAGTAGCTAGGAAATGCAGTATAGGTAAATGTAGGTAAATTAAATTAGGCAAGATGAGTTAAGTTTCCCTTAACTTCCCCCTTAGCTGAATTGGAAGCGAACTTAAGCGTGAGTACCTGTATTTGACAGTGGCATGGGCACGAAAGTGTTAAATCATGTTGCCCCGCCTCCTCTCAAACATACAGCAGCAGAACTAGAAAGAAAACAGCAAGGAAACACCTATGGAAAACACTTGTCTACTCTTCAGGCTAATTACACAAATTCCTCTGAGCTTTTAGACAACGGTCACTTTTAATTTTTCGTCACGGTTTATTTTGCTGGAGACTCGTCGACACTAACATCCGCTCTGAGGCACGCGCTTTCTGTAAACTACAACCTACAACACGTGGACGTGAACACGTACGAGCCGGCTTTTTAAAAACTCATTACAGAGTCACTGGCGTTAACGTGGATTTCGTAAGTACCTAAATGAATAATATGTAATTCTACGCTGTCTGTGTGTAGGATGTGTTAGGGTCAGAAATCAATTCAACTGAAGTGGAGGCGAGAGCTGAGCAGTATGCGGGTCCAACTTACACTCATCCCGCATGCGCTGTGCCTACAACCAGGACATGAATATTTAATTTAGCAATGCATGCAGAGGGAGGTTCAAGAGCACCAACCAAGCTATAAAAGTCCAGATACATGTTCTTATTCTCTGTTGAGTTCAGAAGACGAATGTTTAAATGGCTCATGCTTGTGCCAGCCAGCAGGAAACCTAGCATTAAACAGGGACGTAACCAGACGTTGTAAACATTGGGGGCTTAGCCCAAATCTAAGGGTCTAGGAGAAGAATTCACTGAGTGAATGTTTAACTGACAAATCTACCTTTGAATCCATGTGGGCTGCTCTAATTGCAAATCAAGGATCCCCAGCAATGCCAAGTAAAGTTGTCCTCAATAATCTGAAGTGAATATTAGGCAAACAGAAGAACATTTACTCAAATTATATTATATTTCTTTAGGGGATAGCAGGATAGGATAAACAATATGGGCATATACTATATTATTGTCTTATAGTACTTTAATTGATCTGTTCTCCTTTCCTCCTTTTTTATCTTTTTCTCACACTCTCTCAGCTCCTCTCATTCATACCTGGATATGTAGTCCACTGAAGGAAGAAAATCATAAATTTAAGATCAAAAAAAGAGTAAATGCATTTCTCACTCTCTTACACCTGCTTCTGGCACCTCTGCTCTGTTTTACTTCTCTTTTCTTCAGTCCTTTCTTCTCAACACATTTTCATTTCATCCCTCTTCCTCTTCACCTTCACCTGCTGTCTCCACAAGTTTAACCATCTCATTTCATATTCTCTCCTTCATTCTTTTCCTCACTTTCCCTTTCACTCCTCCCTTCACTTCTCTCTTCCTCACTCCTCAAATTCTGACTTCCACTTTTGTCATCTTCTCACCAATTCTCCACTCCTCTCCGCCTGGCTCCTTATCCACAGGGTTTCTTTTCTCCTTTCCTCTTTGCTTTCTCACTCATTTTCCCCTCAAGGCTCAACTTGTGTGATGATGTGCACACCGAAAATGACATCATCACTCCTTTTGTGTCAAGCCTGATGGCCTCTCAAGTTGTCAGGTGGACCTATAGATGGTGATATTTCCCCAGTAATAGAGCTCCATTTATTTGCTGGCCAGGCCAAAGAGACTAAAGGGAAATGGCACAAGGTTGAAGTTATATAATAAACCTAAAATGTTTGGAGCTTGAGCCCCATAAGTCACCCCACACTCCGCCATTGCCACTGAAGATGTTGTGTCAACCACATCAGGCATTTAGCGGTACAGATATAAATATATATTAAGTGGTTAATAAGTGGTTTTTCAAGAGACAGAAAATCAATGTCGGGTGGATATAAATCAACAAAAATATGATTTAATGCCACCACAGTGAACTAAATTGTAGCAACAGTTGTAACAGGCTGTTTCTGACTGAACACAAAGTGAACTCAGTCAGTGAGTGACAAAGAAAATCCAGAGGAATATCACTAACTTCAATATATAACTCCATATATTTAGTGTCAGTTAGCTCTGAACTAATTAAAAGAAAAATTCATGAGCTTTTTATCAAGAGATCTATACAAATTTCAGTTATAATCTGTCTGAAAATATTCAAAGCAGTCAGTTTAGTTGTCCCTGAGGAGAAATTTGTTTCACAGCCAGTTAAAACTCACAGCCTTAAAGACACAAAGCATAATGTAGGTAAAATGTCTGTAAGCAAATGTTGAACCCACCATGTAAACTCACATAAAACCACATACATCACATGTCCATACTTAAGGGCCGTAAAATTAATTTGCTGATTATTCTGTCATTTCATCCACTTGGTCTATAAGATGTTAGATAATGGCCATTACAGTTTCCCAGAGCCAAAGGTGAAATCATCACATGACTTGTTTTGTCCAACCAACAACTTAAACCCACACATTTTCATTGAACTATGATATGAACAAAGCAGCAAGTCATCACATTTCAGAAGCTGTAATTAGGAAACATTCGGCATTTTGACTTGAAAAATTACTAAAATGATTAATCAATTATCAGAGTAGTTGCTGATGGGAGATGAGAATATAACCAAAACAGAAGTTATTGTTTTATCTGGAAACAGATGATATTTTGATTTAGATTTCTTTTTTTATTCTTTCACATTTATGTGTTACAGAGAATATGGACTACATGCCGGATGACAACTCCCGGTACAAAGATGTTGACTACTGGGATGAAAGATACAAGACAGAGCAGTGTTATGACTGGTTAGGTGGCTTCTCCAAATTCCAGCACCTTTTGGAAGAACACGTCAAGAAGGAAGACTCCATTCTGATACTTGGTTAGTAGCTTTCTGTTATTGCTTCTGCAGTTTGGATGGTAGCCTCTTCCCTTCATCTTCTCACTACACAATGCCAAATAACAAACGCATAGTACAGAACATTTGGCACTGTCCCGGTGGATTGGTGATTCTAATTGCAACACTCCTGGTTTGAGTCCGGCTGGGGACCTGTGATGCAAGTCAGGTCTCTATTCTCTCCCTTATTTCCTGTCATCGTTTTATCTTTTGCTGTCAAGTAAAGTGACAAAGTCACCATTTATCATGATGAGTGTCAGATACCATCACCATGGTTGTCAATTCTGTCATTAGCATCACTTATACTGCTGTTAAATCTTCCCAGACAGTCGTTTGCATAGCATTGTCTCTTTATTGGTGTGGTGGAAGTGGCGTGAGTACTTTGATATAAAAAGCATTAATAGATTTGGCACCTAGATGTGTAGACATCTGCTTAATAACGGTTGTTAAATTCCCATTCACAACCAGCAGAGCTGGCTGTTGTTTGAAAGTTGGAAAAACTATTGCCAATATTGATTCCAGTAGAATGCATAAACAGAGACAATTTCACTACCAACAATTAAACATTATTTTTGAACTTTTGAAAACATGCGTAAAACAAAACGCATTTCATTTAACAAAAGAAAAGAGACTTTTCCTTTCAGTGTCAACATTTGGTGTGTGTCTGTTTCCGCCAGTCTGTGCTATGGAAACATATTCAGCTTCAATGCCCATACCTTCTCTTTATTATTGAGACATTTTAGACTGGATCCTGGTCGCTTTACTGAGGTACAAGATGCCCTGTAGAAAAACCTTGTTGGTGCATGTTGAGTGTTATTTCCTTCATTCATGTATTCTATCTGTGAATAATATAGAGTTGACTCTGTCCTTTGTTATTGATAAAAGCAACACTTGTTTTTCGTGTGTTGAGTCCTTGAGTGAAATTTCTGTAAATGTCCACAAGATGTCCCTGTTCTATTGAAAATAAATGCAGTTCTCTTGTGCTCAGCACTACCTGCACTACCTGTTTTTTTTCTGATTGTTTGTTTTAATGGCCTTGCGGCTCTGTAAAACATGCTTCAAAAAAATTTGATGCATGGACACTGTTTTTGCTGCTGAACATAGAATAGACCTGCATGAGAACTGTAACTGCGCAAAATGTAAAGCAAATGCCTTGAGAGCCAAAAGCTGGTGGAGGCATTGTCACTATGAGCACAAATTCTTCACTGCTTATATTAAATCAAGTCCTCTTTGTTTATTGTTAATTTTAAGCTAGAGTAAGTTCATTGTAAGCATATGAAATTGTTATTTACCTGCTTATGCTGATGGTTTTGCAGGTATGGACCTCTGCGTGTGGTTATGTTTTATCTATTTCGTCATAATAATAAAATGCTCATAAAAATGAGCATTTCTTTCCCTCAGGTGAAGCTGTACAGTTTGACGTAGTCACATTTGATAGGATGCAAATGTCTTTGACGGACTGATTTTGGACAATTAAAAGACTGTTAAGAAGTACTTTTAATAATTAGTTATTTTATTTAGGATAGGTTTAATTAGGATATGTAGTAGGCAGATGCCAGTCTGCTGAAAATGCCAGCTTTAGAGTCTTTTGTGGTTAGACTGTTATACCTCCACAGAAGCATAGAGGGCTATGGTGGTCTATCTCTTGCTGATGTGAACGTTGTTTATGCATGCTCAGTGGTGTTTGTGTGTGTCGAGAGGTTTGTTAAATTTGTGTCAGGGAGTGACAGGGGCTTTCTGCTGTGTGTGTGCGTGCGTGCATGTGTGTGTGTGGAGGAGAAGGAGGGGTGAATAGGAGGGGGACTGGTGAGGTTGTCAGAAGTTGGGTATTCTTTGCTTGACAGAAAGCTCTCTGTGTTTTGCTGCTGTCTAATTCCTGCAAGACTACAGTGCCAACGTACAGACAAGTTAATTATACCTGGAGGTCTCCTTTTTGAATATAGATCAGGATGGTCTGGTGCCCTGCTGGTTCAGAACTGTATTTTGAAGCACTAAGTCAGAACATTGACAGACAGGCAGACACAGATAGTATGCAGCTGCACTTTTTCAATGTGCGTCATAGGCACACCTACAGCAGAGGCGTGAGTGGGCTCAGAGACTCTGGAGGCTGATATATAAAATATCTTCTCTTGCCTCTCTCCTGCGTTAGACTGCAGCAGGCAACACCAGGGCAGACCACTTTCTGCACACTGATTTAAACCCAAAGGAGAGCCATTATATCGCTTGAGAGCTCTCATCTTGGAGGGCATCTCTCTCTCTTATCTCTCTCCTCTTGCCAAATCATGGAATCACACGTTTCTGTCACTAGCACGTGTTGTTGCCGTCTTCCTTGACAACACACATGCACAGATAAGGAGCTATATAGGGAAGCCTACTGTAAAGGTCTGTGAACCCTCACGTGTTGTATAGACATGAAGAGCTCTTAAAAGCACTTAAATATCGCCACGCTTGGACAAACCCCCTGTCACGGCTGCACACATTTCCCGGCTACCATCTCTTGTCAAGTCTGTAAATCCAGAGAGACTATTGGCTCGTATGAAATGACACAATAAATTACCGTCACTATAGGGGGGATCAGGGCATAACTTGGCAAAGAGGAGGGACGACGTAAAGACAGACTTGAGGCGCCACAGTGCTGTTAGTGTGTGATGAGGGGATAAAGGAAAGAGAGATGGAAGGGAGGTAAATAACTAATCATGTTTGGGCCACTCAACTGTCTCAGATGGAGGTCATTTCCATTAAGATAATCTGTGCAGAACAGAGAGAGAGAGAGAGAGAGAAGTGGGGGAGAGATGCAAACACGAAGACAACTAAAATGCTTTGCTGCATGCTGATGACAGTGTTAATGTCGTTCTCTTTCCTCTGTTTGTTGTTTTCATACCACATCTTGCTGTCCCTCTCTTAGGCTACTTTTCCATGTTTTCTCCAAGCCCCACTTCTTTCCCACTGCTTTGTTATTATTTAGAGAGGCTGGCTCCCTCATCTCACTGTTTTTGCTCCCCACCTTCGTAGCAACCTACTTCTGCCTTTTGGTATTATTCTCACTTACTCAGCAATATCTGTCCCCTCATCTTGATTATAGCGACACTGTAGCTATAGTCTGAAATTAAATTAGATAATGCAAGATGTGATCTCTGTTATTAGGGGTGCAATCAATAAGGCTGGGTGATCCCACTGAGTTGTTTTGTTTTTGATCACTTTATAGTAGCAGTACGACCACAGAAAGTGAACCACATAAGTCTGGTGATGATTTGTAAACCAGGAAATCACCTCCATTCTTCTTTCTTGTTGCCAACAAATCCCATGAAAGTTGTGACCACAATCAACAATGAATTGTTCCTGGTAACAAGTATTGTCTGTGTGTCCAAAGCCTGTTATAGCTTATTTCTCTGTGACACAGCGCTCTCATTATTGTTGTTGTCAGCCACAGTTGCACATTGTTACGTGTACCTTGTATATGATAAAACTGCATGATAGTTTATTGTGCATCAGACTCAGATACACCACCGTCCTGCTGCTGTAAGTACTCTCTAGAGCCCCAAAACTGCTGCAGAAAACAGTCCCCAATAAATACACTATTTACAGTGTGTGTAACTAACGTTTACTAAAAACCACATTGCCCAGCTGTTTAAGGAGCTAACGTGAGGTGCTGGTCTGACCATCAGGAGTAATTTGGGGTTCAGTGTCTTGCCCAAGGATACTTGTGTGACATGTGGGCAAGAAGAGCTTTTTTGTTTCTCTTCTGTTATAACTAAGCAGTGTTCACTCTATCCTGTTGTCTGGTTCCTATCCTATGCTGTTAACTTGTTCTAACATTGACAGTTTTTCACCTTCTCAACATCACACGAGCAAAGAAGGTACAGTGTTGGTTGGTTGGAGTGTTTATTTTATGTAAGGATGAATTCTCAAATGGACATTCACTATTGATCCTTTAGTCCGTCGTGTGGTAAAATCATTCATAATAGCATATCCTGTTTAGAAGGTGCACTGCCCACTCAGACACCCACTTCAACCACATTGACATTAGGTCAGTGTTGGTTTTTACTTCAGAATAATGCAGAAAGTTGCTAATTTACAAACTTGAGTGCAGTAACATTTGTTTTAAAATACATTGTTGAATATTTTAAATGGTACACCAGGTAATTGATTTTAATGTGTGTGTCTTATACAGCCTCATAATATGACATAACTCTGCTCATTACTGGTTGGGTCATCTGCATGGTAAGCTGGAGGGCCTGGAGTGGTGTGTGTCACAGCATTGCGTCAAGCGGACTCTGACTCCCCGCTACCTGACGTGTATGTGTATTAGGCACATTACAGAGCAATAGCAATGATCAGCTCGCGCAAGGTCCGGTTCCTGCCTGCCACGCAGCCACGGCTCCGTCTTTTATGGCCTGCTCCGCTCCGGGCTGCTGCCAGTGATGTAATGACCCCACGTCTCCCACTGGTCAACACTCATGCTTTGTGCCCCGAGGCAAGGGGTGATGATGTAATGGCTCTGTTCCCCTGCAGTGTGTAGGGCTGAGATATGTATCCTGGGAGTATTTGGAGTATCTATCTAGATTGTTCCTTACATGTTAACGTCAGTGCGCTGGGTATAGAGGGCATGACACCAGATCTCCACCGTCGCACTAAAAACACCTACCTCTCAGGGTCTGTCTGCAGGGCTACTGAAACGTGCGTGGGTGTCTTAAAGCGTCGGTGCTGACATTTCTGCATTAGAATAAGTGTGTTTGGTAACATTGGTAACATACAATGGGTTGCTTAAGGGGATACCAAGAATTACAAGGTAATTGAAGCTTTGTCTGAACAAGACGCATGCAGACACAGATACTAAAATACAGTCTGCATATTTTCAGATATGAACTTTATAATTAACTAATTAACAACAACAGATGGGTTTGTCTGTTGGTTTTGTTAAGGTTTGGTGACTTACCTGCGTTTCCTGTGTATTGACGGATGTTTAAATTCTGTCTCCTGGTTTT